AACAACGGGGATGAATGATGTTATCCTAAACGGAACAAACCATAAGGGAAAAGATGCTATAAGATAGCACTTCCATGTAGAGCTTAGGATAATTAACTAGGAGTAGAAAACAGAGTGGCAGTTACCAGGAACTCAGGGAGAAGAAGAAAAGGACATTTACTGGCAAAGGGGTTTGAAAATGTCAGTAAAGGATGAAAACATTCCGGAGGCTTACAACACAGCATGGCGACTATAGTGAACAACAGTGTGCAGGTGGCTCTCGGGAATTCCCACCACAAAGACCACCACTGGTGATGCTAGTGATATGTTGATTAGCTTGACTGTGGTAGCCATCTCACAGTCCATACAGAAAGCAGCACATTTATGCATCTTAAATATATGATGTTTCTATGTGTCACCAATATATCAGTGAAGCTGAAAAGTATGAAACAAAGAAAAAGAAATTGACAAACCACAGTCAATTCACTGACAGATAACAAAATGGAAGGCGGGAATTTTAAGTTGTACAAACACTTTCATCCCTACACTGGCCAACCCATCTCCTTTCCAAATATTCATTATGTCCACACAACTACAGACCATTTCTTTGCACACTTCTAGAGTCATCAGTGAACTCATCCCATTTTCTTCTCTGTCATATTAAAGAAAAGAAAACTGTTTTCTGCAATGGATTGAAGCCTCCCATTATCACTGCCTTCCATTTCTTCAGTTCTACCACTGACCTCATTAGTAGTTCACCATATTCCACTTTTTTTTTAATCCCATAGGACTTAACTGGAAAGACATAGAGTTAGTATATTCTGATTAAAATAGATGCCTTGGAGGTCCAGCACATTTTCTGGACCAGTGGTTTACTGTCCCAGTTGACATTAAGAGTTCAGCACCCTTGCTCTGTAAAGGCCATGCAGAACTATATAGTCTCTACCACCACTACTCACCACTATCATTGTGGTGCAAAAACAGCCTCAGACACTATGTAAACCAGAGAAGATAGGCTAGCCATAGTTCAATAAAACTTTATTTACAGAAATAAACAGTGGGCTGGACAGAACTTGTGGTCTTTGATTTGTCAAACTTGAGAGCACTGTTTGTCAACCTGTAGCTCCCAAACTCTTTAGGGGTTCAAATGAACCTTTGTCAGGGGTCACCAAAGACTATCAGAAATGTTTACATTGCAATTCATAACAGTAGCAAAGTTACAGTTATGAAATACCAATGAAGATAATTGAATGGTTGGAAGGGCATCACCACAACATGTATTAAAGGATTGCAGCATTAGGAAGGTTGAGAACCACTGTGGGTTTGCTACTGTTATGAACCACAATGTAAATATCTGTGTTTTCCAAAAGTCCCAGGCAACCCCTATGAAAGGGTCATTCCACCCCCAAAGGGATTGCAACCCACAGCTTGAGAGCTGCCACTCTACACCAAAAGTGGAAATGCTAGAAACGAGTGCAGGCTTTTCCAAAACCAAATGTGGGAGTGTTTCTTTTGAGGAAAGACATATAGCCCATATGCCATAATTTTTAAATTTTCTATCAAAAACTTTTACAAATTTTCATTCACTTTAAAACCTTGTTTTATCTGAATCTACAATCTAATTTTTAAAAAGTTACTGATAATAACTTTACTGAATTTTTTCCCTCTCTTCTTGGCAATCCAGGCCCTAGAAAACCACTGCCGAGTGAACGGAGGCTACTCGGGCCTACGGGATGTTTACTTTGCTAGTGAGAGTTATGACGATGTCCAGCAAAGTTTCTTCCTGGCAGAGACACTAAAGTAAGTGCAAGTATCCTCCAGCTGTGCTGAGGCCCCAAGGAGGTCTTCTCTACAGGGGTCTTCACGATGAACACATGCATCATATACCAAGTCTGACCGATGTGTGTAATCTCCATCCCAGGTCAGGTTGCTGCTGTCTCAGTCTGACAGTGCGGGTGTCTCTGGTCATTTCTGAGGCTGATCACCTGGAGTTACTTACTCTGTGTGGTTCTCAGGCACCAGCACCCAAAGCATGGTTGGTACCATGTTAAGGACTGTGGGTGTGAGAATCAACTGCTGTCTGTGGTACAAGACGTGCAGAGACATAGAAGTGTTTGGGACCTGGTTTCTTGTGCCTCAAAGTCTCATTTTTTTTCTCTCTCCAGGTATTTGTACTTGATATTTTCTGATGATGACCTTCTTCCACTAGAACACTGGGTCTTCAATACTGAGGCACACCCTTTCCCCATACTCCGAGACGAGAAAAAGGAAATTGAAGTCAAAGAGAAATGAAAGACACTTTCTACTTTACTCTGCTTCGTCCCTCACTGCATACCTTAATTCCTTTCCTCATCATCAGACACATGATGAACTTTTGTTGATAGATAAAAGCCTATGAATATCCTAAGTTCTAAAGTTGTTTTGCAGTCTTTTACGTTTATTACCGTAAGCCTAAGTGAACCTCAATTCCTTATTACTTATTATCCAGCTAGTGGATCCACTGATTTTGTTTGCTGTCTTTTTTTTTTTTTTTTTAAGGAATCTATTGTTTCTGGAGTTCATGAAGTTGTGACATCATTTTCATGAAACAGAATAGAATAGTCTACCAGTGACCTCTGAATTATGATTTGACTGCAAAACTTTTTCCTCCTCTATGAGGAGATGGCGTCTGCTTTAAGCTGTAATATTTTGCCATGTTGCAAAAAGCCATAATAATGAATTAAGTATTAAAAAGAAAAAGCTTTTTTTTTTCCTTTTCAAGTTCATGTTAATCTGGTTTGTCTATCCACCAGAGAAAGATCTCATAACTGTGACAGCCTCTTAGCAGGTCTATCGTTATTTGATAGAATGTCTTCTAAAGTACTCCACTCACATTGCAATTCTGATGAGAACGTCATCCCAGAAGAGTCAGCCCCCTTGACCTCATTTCATTGCAGTGTGTTTTCGTTTTTTGATTGTTCGTGTTTCCGCACTTTTGAATTTCTTCACTACTTCTACTTTAAATGCCCTGTGTCATCTCTGTATCACATACTGCTTAATTTCTTCCATTCCCCACTGCCCAGCAAGGTGAGCACTTGAGTTCTGCAGAGCGCCCCTGTTACTCAATTACATTTTTGAAAGGGAAACGATGTAACTTTTAACCTGCCAGGTCTTGCTTTTTAACTGAATCCATCCTGGAATGTGGTCTCTAAAAAGAGACAGAATTTCACATGACTATTCCATGTGTTTGCATTTCACCTTTGGTTTTTCTTCAAGGAAAGGAAACATTGCACTTGGTTCAGATTTGAAAAGGGCTCTTCCCAGATGTGGTTAATTATTTCACTTCAGTTTGTGAAAGGGAGTTTTTACCCAGGGAAAGAAACTTTGCCAATTTCTCTATTCCTTCAACTAAGAAAAATCTAATTAGATCTTAAGAACACAGTGTACTTAGTCTGGTTACATTCAGCATGGAGAACCTAAATTAGAAACAATTTATAGGAATGGACCCATTCCCTCAAAAATTGATCTGTAGCAGATCAAAATGATTATATGATTCTTCAAAACCTTATTTGAAATATGAATGATTTTCCCAAGAACAGATTTGGTGATAGCTTACATTACCACACCTGCTATTTATAGGAAAGATAGAATGTGACTGATTATGTATGTACCAAGGGACAAAGACTCTAACCACCTCGATTGCAACCGACTATGGTCAACAAGTAGTACAACCCAAAGGATTAGGCTGAAGTATAGATTTCTGTGCATTTATATTCCTTCAGCTTTATCATTTTATCCGTTTCATATCATTTGACCTATTTATTTGAGAGAGTTATTTTGTTAAATCTCAGTAGTCAGTAGTTTTACCCATTTCAGCTTTGGGGAGGGTTTCAAAAGATGTCATTTAGGATTACCACCTTGTGTGGCCTGGCTGTTTCCAGTATTGTACATTAGAATACATCAAAATTCATAAATTAGTAAAAATTAGTAAATGGAAGAAAATCCTTTTGTACATCCTATGGCTGTGTTAACCTCTGAGACCCAGAGTAACTTCCTCCTATAACCTAATTAATCTGTGGAGTTCATGAATTGTGACATCATTTTCATGAATCTAAGTAGAACAGCCTGCTTTGACTCCTTAATTACAATTTGATTTGACTGTAAAACTTTTCTCTCCTCTAAGAGGAATGAGTGAGGAGCAAATCTTTCTTTCCCCAGAGCTCTGATGTAAAATATTGAAATTTGTTGCCAAAATGTGTCCCTATAGATTTTAATTATAACTTTCACTGTCCTTGGATTAGCCATTAATTCATTTTCTTTGAATTTTACTTTGAAGATGCACACAAAACTGGTAAGTATTTCTGCAATAGGTGGGATTTTAAAGCCAGGTCCTTTGTGCCGACTCCTCTGTAATGGAGTGTCCACTACAGTGTACGATTTGAGTCCCAGCAGAAGCAGGCAAGAAGCTGAAACATAATGCTGCTCTCCAATGGCAAGGATCATCTTTCAGTTTTAAAACTTGAATTTTTTTAATGCTAGATTCCAGAACACCAAAAATGTAAACAAGAGATTAATATTATAGTAATGTAATTGAATTAAGCTTATATTTTGTGTTAATTTTAAACCACTGAAGTCTCCAAATAGACACCAACTCATTCATTTTCCACAAAACTTCCATTTAATTTACATGTGTAATCCGCATCCTTAAAGATGAACAAGAGTTAAAATAGCACCTACTTTTGTGTTTATGAAATATGTTTGATATAGTTTGTGCAGTTAATATTATAAACACAAATTGTATGCCAATTTATAGACCTCTCTATCAGGATTTTTCATGTGTATTATCCATTTTTACATTGATTGTTTTTGATTTGTTCATAAGTGCATTCTGCCATTTCCAACTTTATATAAACCTCTGATGTTATGGGAAACAATAGATTGACACATAATTTTTAAAAATTATATTTGTAAAATTTCTCTATTGTGAATAAAGTCTTTTAATATATCTTCTCCTGTGTCATATTTTTCTGAGCTTAAGAGTGCTTCTGTATGTGTATATAGGTGAGTGTATATGGTTGCAAATGGAAATACCAAGTCCTACTAACAAGTACATACCTTGACAAGGAAACATTGCCCATTAAAAACTTTATATTGGGAATGATTTGGCACACATAGTCAAACTGATGTCACAAAAGGCACAGAAAGTGTGGTGTGTGTACACAGTTTGTGACCTGGTCTATAAAAATCAGACTAGCCTTACTAGTTCACCCTAAAACAAAATGGCATCTAATTGTTAAATTCTTAATCATCTTTAAATTCAGAGGGTGGGGGCAGGATCTCAGAAAGGTTGAATAGAAAACATAATTTAGCTGTTCATGGGGAAACCTATGTTTGGAATCTTAGGTTGTGCTTTGCTCGGATGATGTGGCCACCCATCCCTCTGTCGGAATATAGTCAAAAGAATGACCCCTGGTGAACAATGCCTCGGGCAACTGTGAGAGAGGCTCCAGGAAAAAGGCAGAGGGTCTTTTACCTCAGGTGCACTTTGTTTCCTGGGTTGTTCTTGGACGTGGTCTCATGCCTCCTGTGACAAGCATTTACATTCAATTCATGAGACATGTTTATTCTTGTTGGGTATCAGAATATAGCTATAGAACCTGAATCTAAATATGGCCTTCTGCCTTGCTTTCTTGCCTTCCCACATATAACCTGTAGTATGCTACGTGCCAGGGAATTGTGTTGAAACTGGTCTGGCCTGAGGAAGTTCTGGGAAAGGGCTGTTCTGTTAATATTTAGTGTGTGCTTACTGGTGTTTATTTACATGTTTTTTTGATCATGGTTTTCTGAGCTCAGGCAACCTTCCTTGGATCATTGATTTCTTTCTTGCATTCATGTATAAAAGGGCACTGAAATTGAAGTAAGGTTGTCTACAGCATTAGACTGTAGTCCACACCATTCTTTGAGATCCTCAGATCCCAGGTCCAGCACACATGATCTGCTCGGCTCAGTTGGTGAAAGTCGACACCCCTTCTTACATGGAACTCTTCATTGTTTATGTAACATGTTCTTCACCCTGCTCACGCTTCTGTGCAACTCTCGCCGTATCAGACAGACCACTATAGCATTACCATCTGCCTTCATTCTTTATTTTTTTAAAACCTATTATGTATTCATGTGACTGGATGCCATGGCCCTTGCCTCATACAGAAAACAATTAATATAATCATTTTAATAGCACCAAACACAGTTTGAGATCTAACATAGCCAAATGGGAGCCTTCTGAGTTCACTTATTTGTAACACACACAGCATCAGTTGTGTTTACTTTGATGTTGGCAGATTTATTAAAATTTGTTCTAAGCATGATTTTTACTTTGCTCTTCACACAGACATGGCATCTTGGCAGTAATCTACTTTCTGATAATGATATGTATGCAGTAGCTTACAATTTTTAATAAAAGTAAACAAGATAAATCTTTTCATTTAGACAGTTTATATGTCTAGTTGTGTTCTAGCTTTCTAGGTGATACCTGAAATTAAGGGTCATATAGGGAACCTTGTTGGAACTCCTTAACTGATTTAATGGTCCAAAGGTCAAGATCCATTTTTCCCAAGCTCATTCCACCCACACTATCCAATATGTAAGTCATAATTTTCAGGAAATGTTTGCCAGACATCAGATGTTCATTTAAAGTATTAGAACAACATGAGAGTCTAGACAGAGCTTCATCCAACTTTGTTATTTTAAAGATGCAGATTTGTGGAGGGTTTTTCACCACCAGGAGCCATTTTCTATCCTACACTGTGATATCAGACATCCGGGGGGTGGTAAGGTTTCATGCTAAAAAGAAAAATAACATGAGCTTCCAATCAGCCACTCCAAAAGAAAGGTGTTGATCAGAAGTCACATTAGATGTGTCTATCAAGATGTGGACCACAATCCACCTATGGCTGCATGTCATGGAAAATGCAGACTCCATGGTCTTGATCCACTTTCTATAAAACTGTGATATTCTGGAATCTCTGCCTTCACCTGGCTGTGTGTGTCACTCCTTTGCATACAAACCCTTAATGATGGAAAGCTGATGAGTGACAGAAAAGCACACTGCTGTTGTTTGACACGTCAGTGCGATTTGACAATTCCAATCACTGTGGAAACATCCACTCTTCATCTGAAAGCATTTCTGAGCAATGAGTGATGAATCTAAATATTTTAAAAAGATTCACACTGTTTTCCCTGGCGTAAGAAGGGACTTTGAGAGCCCATCCCACGTAAAGGGATGCACTCTTGACCTGGACACATGGGGAAGGGCCTAGGCCCGGCCCAGGATGATGTGGTGGACTTCGTTGAGGGCCCTATCCTGCCTGGGGGTAGGACGGGGGTGGGGGAGGAGAGATGGGGGGAGGGGAGGGATTTGAACTAATAAAAAAAATTAAAAAAAAAAAGATTCACACTGGATTTTCAAACATAACTCTTCACAGGGGAAATCTTCATTCAGTATTAATTTCAGTTACCCCTGGTTTTCTTAAGTAATCACTGTGTTAGCTTTCTTCTCCAGTGGCTGCTTTTTTTTAAGTTGTTTTTCAAGTTGTCACTCTGTTCTTGATTTTAACATGACTCACTCTCAAGGTCCATGGGACCCCTGAGTTAGCTCTGCAAATGCCCTGTATGAAGTGTTTGTGGGCAGGAACCCTGAAAAGGACCATCATTTCCCGCCCCCTCCACCTTGCCCAATTCTTTTAAATTCATTTCCAGGCTGATCATCAAAAGATTTGTTGGCATGCCATTAGTTTGACCACTTTGAATCCCCTTAAAACATGTCATTACTTACTGAATAAATTAACTTAAATTTGTGTCACTGATCCATTTAATTCCCCAGTGAATGCAAATTACCATGAAACATTTGAAAACAGTGATAGATGTATAACTTTTTAAAAGACTTTTCCCACATACTGGGATAGTTTGTCCTTGGGCTATGAGCACACATTAATTCACAGTTCTAGAAACAGGGTGATAAAATGTACTGTATTGCAAATCAAATATTCCAAAATGACTGGCACCTGTTTTGTTTCTAAACTCCTAAGAGAAAAAACTGCACACTCATTCATAGATTCTGTGGAATCGTTATTCTTGATCTTGCAACCCTTGGAAGTCTCTATGGAAAACAGAAAAAGCATGACTTGGAATCAGCTTTTGGAGCCAGCTCCTCGAGGTGGGCAGGTTCCATTTCAAGGGTGACTTGGCTCTGGTTGGTTGCAATTCAAGGACACATGTAGTCAGTGGCCAAAGGGAAAACAATCTGACTCTTTCTTTCTTAAAGTGCTTCTAAGTAGCACCTTAACATCCATGTTAAATGAACCATGAGAACATTTCACTCCCCGTCATTTCCTTTTCTAAGTTACATTTGCCTACTTGATAACTTCGTGATTCACAGAGTCTTTGCCAGGAGCTACAAAATATGTACATCTTAAAGGCTCCCATTAAAAAATATATTAGATCCCTCTCATCTCTTTTCTATGTAGAATATACAATAAAAGGGAGAGAAAGTAGGTACATTTGGGGCAGTGGGAAAACAGTTTCACAAGTAATCAAGACAACTGGGTCCCAAACAGAAATCTGTTTAAACAAACTGTGTGATTTAGAGTGATTTAGAGTGATCTCAGTCTCTGTCTGTTAAATAAAGATGTAGTGAGCCAGGTGTAACTGCTAGCCTGGGTACTCATACAAAAACAGCACATATGCATCACATCCACCTGTCATAAAATATTAGTTAAACATGTGTTACATTTGTTTATACTGTAAAATATTTGTTTAATGATGCAAAGATATGTTGCATTCTTTTATGTTGCCTTTGTTTACCTCTGTGAAGCTGTCTTACTTTGCCTGTCTAAAACAACTGATTGGTCTAATACAGAGCTGAACAGCCAATAGCAAGGAAGGAGAAAGGATAGGCAAAGCTGGCAGGTGGCAAGAATAAATAGGAGGAGAAATCTGGAAAGAGAGGAGATCAAGGAACGAGAAAAGCATAAGGAACATTGAACATAAGGAGCCAGCCACCCGGCTACACAGCAAGCCCTCTAGTAAGAAGTAAAGAAGGATATGTAGAATAGAGAAATACAGAAGCCCAGAGGCAAAAGACAGATGGGATAATTTAAGAAAAGCTGTCTAGAAACAAGTCAAGCTGAGGCCAGGCATTCATAAGAAAGAACAAGTTTCCGTGTGATTATTGGGGAGCTAAATGGCAAGCCCCAATGAGCAAATCACAAAAGAGAAAAAAAAAACACCTACATCAACCCATGTTCTAGAGACTGTAATCCCCAAAACATAAGCTATCATAAAATAAGACTTGGAGAAAGGACAGAATTTTCAACAAACTGGATAGCTACATCAACCCGAATGAATATAGATCCTTATCTCTTAGGTTTTACACAACTTAATGCCAAGTGAATCAAGACCTCAACATAAGATCTGACTCCTTGTATTTGACAGGGAAAAACAGGGAGTGCAGCTGAACTTGTCAGCAGAGGAAAAGAATTTCTTAATGGGAACCAATAAAATAGGCATTAAGATCAAAAAATGGGACCTCATGGAAATAAAAGGTTTCTTTACAACAAACAGCACCCTCATTTGATTGAAGGGGCAGCCTAAAGAATGGGGAGAAACTACCAGTTACATATCTGACAAAGAGTTAGTATCTAGAATATATGTATAACTAAAAAACCTAAACAGCAAGAAAAACAAATACTCCAACTAAAAACTGGAGCATGGAACTAAACAATTCTCAAAAAAAAAATAAAATACAAATACAAATAAGTGAGAAATACTGTTTAAAATGTTCAACATTCTTAGTCATCAGGGAAATGGAAATTAAAACTACTTTGAGATTTCACCTTTCCCCAATCAAAATAGCTAAGACCAATTAATTAATAAATAAAACAAATAACAACAAATATTGGAATGGATGTGGACAAAGTAGAACCCCTACTCACTCTTGGTGGGGGTGCA